CAGCTGAGAAACATTCTCGTTAGTCTCCGATTTATGAAGTGGAGATTGCGTGCAGCTGTGCGTACCCCATGTTTGATAGATCACAAACCTACTTGGCGTAAGTACATTTTTTTTGCTGAGCTTAAGTACGGTTTTAGTAAGGATTCTACGCAATGTTTGATAAATGAGACCCCTGGACTGGAATGAGACCTGGTGACTGTGGAGGTCATTGGAACCCAGAACTCATGGTCATATTCTAGAAACCAGTTAGAGATTATCTGAGCTTGGTGACATTGTGCTTTATTCTGCTGAAAGTAGCCATCAGAAGATGGGTCCATGTGGTCATAAAGGGATGGACATGGTCAGCAATGAGACTCGGGTAGGTGGTGGTGTTCAAACCAGGCTCAGGTGGTACTGAGAGGTCCATAGTGGGACAAGAACACCTCCCCCAAACCAGTGCACCACCACCCCCATGCTGAAGCAATGATAGAAGTCAGGATGGATCTATGCTTCCATGTTGGTGAGTTTGTCCCAACCATCTGAAATCCAGACCAGGAAAGGTTTCCCCGTCTCTTCATTGTGCTGTTTTCAGGTCATCCATCCAGCTGCTGCCACACGATTGGTTGATATTTGCATTAGCAAGTACATGACCAGTGAGAGTGTGTAATCTCACTAGACGTCTTTAACTGCATTTCACAACACACAAACATATTATAGTCACATCTGTATTTAGTAATAGTTAAACAGCTGATTATGTGATATCAGGTGTAATCTGGATTAAATCTACCTCAGTAGGTATTTAAAACACAAACACAATCCGTTTCTCTACAGATCCAGTGTTTCTTTTATCAGACAACAGCAGGAAAAATCACAAAATCATTAAGCAGCATGACAGAAAGCTCAGACAGATGTAAAGATTTGTTTCGGTGACTGTCACAACACAAAATCCATTTCCTGATTTTACTATTCCGATCATTTTGACCCAAGAATACGTTCATAATGCAATACGGTAACTTATGCAAGTGGAATGAAAAAGTAACAGTGAGACGATGTTCTGAAGTAGGGCATGTTTAATGGGGTTCAAGAACATAAACATGACGGTTCAGTTAGGTTCAGCAGAAGAGATGAGAGGTTTCACCAGATTTCCAAATCCTTAGGAATGTCACCAAACCTTTTGCAAGTAGCTCAGGACAGCAGATGTTCTAACAACCCTCAGGAAAGGATCAAAGCTTAATCACAGAAGTTAGCTGTTATTAAAATGTTAGTTTAAGGATTTTATAGAGGATGAAACAATTCCAGTTCCCCTCATGGATAATTGAGAACCAGGTTAATAGATGTAAAAATGACATTGGTAGGTTTAGGAAAACACAATCAGCTTTAAAAGCAACACTTTTAGAACATCTGCATTTCATAACCAGTATTATGTCTCAGACAGGTAAATAAAGTCCTGATCATGTGAAAAGGGTTCCTGAAAAAGGAATTTCTCACCAGTCATAAAACACTTTGACTGATCTCAGTAAGGACAAATAGAGTCCCGACTGAATTCACAACTTTCCCCCCTTTTTAAAACAGCTCCAAATATTCCCTACTGGTTTGTGCAAAAGCATTCAACTTTTTCTTTGTGGTCAGTTTTGTATCACTCGACTGATTCTGCAGAAATTTTTTTGATAATACTGCAAAAATCATAAATTCGAATTAAAACATGTTTTCACCTGAAATACCATGAATGTTTAGCAAAACAATGACGATATTTCGTTTTGATCTTCACCCTGCTGTGACTAGCCTTTAGCTTATCAATCTGTAGAGTTAAACTCAAAGCTTTCTAGCAGGTGAGGTGTTGACGTTCATGTTTCTGTGACTTAATTAAAACATATAATTAACCCACTCAGGCTCAAAATAAGTTTTTATAGAAGGACGAAACACTAAGTCCTTCAGGGGTACTTCTGAGTTAAAAATGCTCATGAAACACGTATGTGGAGTAACCAGGTAGGTTTTAATGTTGTAGATCTGCAACGCCTGCCTCCAGAGGATTAAAATCAAAACAGGAAATGTATAAAACTTATTTGTGCCCCTGAGGTTTTAATAATGGGATGATTATTGCTGCCATCAACATCCAGCTGTCTCAAGCATATTTTTATAAGAACACACTCTTTGTGCTTTTATCTAGTTTTGTTCTTTTCTCACATTGAACTTGAGACTTCCTTCTATCCTCTCTCAATGACATAGCTGCAATTAAACCACACAAAAGCCCTCTGAGCCCAGTATAAATGCAATATTTTTATGATTAATCTCCCCTCCTGCCCCCTCACCCGTCTCCCCCACCCTCTCTACTAACTAATACGTTCTTCCGGATAAAAGCAACCTTACCCTCCATTGAACAGGCGCAAAAATTCAATACCTCTGCGCCTGGCGTCCGCCCGGCCGACACAGATGTGCAAACCCAGCCTCACCCATCAATCTTCTAATAACCATTAGAAATGACAGGAGGAAGGAAAATGAAGTTAATATGCAAGAGTGAAGAGGAGATACTGGGAAACAGAGCAATGTGACCATGGCTGTCTCAACCATCGACTGAACATGCAGACGCCCACCCCCCGACTCACTGATGACCTCCAGCAAGCCTAGTTAATTTATGCAGTTTATTTGTGTTTCTTCAGGATTTCTTCATTTGGGGTCCATATTCTGCAAGCGCTTTGTGGTTTTGAGGGCCCAAAGGGAAAAAAAAGAAAGAAAGGAGCTTAAAAGTCTGAAGATGAGTTCCAGAAATGAATTGTGAGAGAACATTTTATAGGGTGTCTTTGTGTCGAGTCAATAAAAGGGAATTAAATGTGCTCTTTGGTAGCCTTGCACTGCTCTCTCCCCCTTTTCTTGTGGCTGAGTGAATTAGAAAAGGAGGTTCATGTCAGCCGAGTCGCCCTTGGGCTCTAGAAACGGGGGTGGGGGGCGGTGGGGGTGCTGTTTCCACAGCTCAGCTTGTCTGCTGTCCATCCTTAACCCCTCCACCATCCCAGGTAAAGATGAACTGAGCTGAACTCTGAGCTATAAAACAAGACGGCCTTGTTAGTGTGTGCTGGACTTGACGTGTTCGTTGATTTGCAACAGTGACTCAGTACTGCGGAGGTTTCTAGGTTTGGATGATTTGTGCAGCTTCTATTCGTTTCTGTTTTAACTAGTCTGATCGTTAAAAAATTAAGAAAATCTACATTAAAGTAAAAAAAATGTTCTGGCTTATTTAATTTTTTTTTTTTTTTTTTTTGGCAGGCATTCTCTTCTATTTTGCAACTTTTGCTGGTTCTACTGTTGAGTTGCACTGAGTTAAAGCACATTTCTAATTTTACCAAATATGTTCCTTATTTTGATAAAACTAAAACTATTTTGCGTTTCTGATTGGAGCCATGGGCTCCATGGAGATGTGGTCAGCAGCACTGTAGCCTGGCAAGATGGTCCTTGCTCCTGACAAGGACCTTCTTGAACTTGAACAGACATTGCATGCTCTCCAGTTTCCTCCCATAGACTAAAAACATGCTAACTGACTAATTAACCCTGAGAATGTGTGTGTGTGTGTGTGTGTGTGTGTGTGTGTGTGTGTGTGTGTGTGTGTGTGTGTGTGTGTGTGTGTGTGTGTGTGTGTGAAGCTTACTTTACTGATTGCCTACATTTGATCTTGTTGCAGAAGCTGAATGAAAACACCACATGATGGTTCAACCTGAAGTCACTTTGAAAATCATCTGATTTGTATCAGGTGTAAGACCATGGTTCTGATTTGGGTTTTTCGAACACAAATGGGTCATACTGAGAAAGAAAAAGCAGATGTGGACAGTGTGAACAGCCTTTGTCTTTATGAGGGACTGTTCTTCAGCTGCCCCGCCTTTCACACATGACCAGTATTCACCAGCTCTCTTTGGGCTCTCAGGAAGACAATAAATGAATGAAATGTCAGTAAGAAAATATAGTTTTGCCCATGTTTGTTTCCATGGTACTAAGCTCTATGTTGATTGGCTCCTGGGTGCTTGAATTGTTAATGATTGGAACTGATGTTCCTGAAAGATGCTTGAATTTGGATTTGGTAAACCATGAAAAAATAATTAAACTAATTTTGAAATGATGTTTTATTAGTAAATCAAGGATTAACTGTTTAAATAAACAAAACTCATCTCTGCCTATATTTGATAATTCAGAATTAGTTTGACTCAGAGAAAACTGGGACTTTTTTCCACACTGACAACCTCACCAAGACCCCAGCCGAATTCCCGGTCCTCTGTCAGGTTTAATTATGATCACGTGGTGATAAAACAGCAGATTTCCATAAACATTCCTGGGTGGAAAAAACACTTTTGAAGCTCAATATCTAAATTACAACTTTGAACATGCCTCTCTTCCTGCATCCAGCTGCTGAGCGCGGGCTTCAGGTGAAAGTCAACTGTCAAATCCTCACCGCCTCATTGTGTCTGAGAGCAGCGCGTCTGGTCACTCTGCTGTCTCAAATCACGCACTCGGACTCTTTTCATCCTCTTCACAAGCTGCTTTATTTTCACCATCTTTGGAAAACACCTACACTACGCAGGATTGTTCTCTGTAAAGCCTCCACCTGTGAGTGTTCCGCCCGCGGTGACGTTACTGGAACCGGGAGGTCTCCGATCCCCGGGAGCGACACCAGCCGCCGAATCATCCGTCCCTGCTCCGTGCCAAAGATGTCCCGTCTCAAAGCGGATTTACGGCAACAGGCTCCAACATCCCGGCGGCACGATGCGCTAAGAGCCATTTAAGGTGAGAGGCTGGTGGAAAATATGGTTTGAATCAACCAGACGGCCGCAGGGTGAGGATGCGTAAACTTCGGAAGCGACGCGCGCAGACCGGCTACTCAAATTGCGCGTTGAGAGTAGAGGAATGTTGAAAACAGGCGAGCTTGTTTTTTTTTTTTGTTGTTGTTTTTTTTTTCATTTGCGTGTGTTTTCCTTCTACACCACACCTCTTCTCTCTAGGAATGAATAAGAATCACAGAAAGCAGAAGAGCGCAGGGGGAATAAAGCTTTTTTTTTATTTATTTATTTTAGAGCACAATATTCACGTTCTCTTTAAAAAGACGCATAATTAAAATCCACACCTCAGGTTAAAGTGATTTTCTTTTGCTCTCGCGCTAGAAACTAATAATCTTCCTATATAAACACTAATATTGCTTTTACACATCAATGCGCTCCCTACTCTTGGGATTACGCATATGAATGCTTATGCGCGGGGAAGACAGCAGGCCCTTCCGGGCTAAGATGGACAGAATGTTGTTTGAACCTTCCTTCAATATAACTTCCTCTGAAATCTTGAATCATTGTAGAGGTTTGGTCATGGCATTTTCACTCAGGCGTCACATGTTTTACTTTATAAAAGTAGAAACATCGAAAAGTTCTGATTTTCAACTAAAAATTATTAAAGAAAATCACCATGTTTTATTTAATCAGGGCAAGTTGAACATTTTATTTGTGCAATTTACACAATCAATCTGAAGAAACTTACACTTTAATGTTAAATTAGAACAAAAACTTAATTTTGTGCAGTTTTTGACATCTTTGCATTCCTTAGTCGCTCAACTTACGCGCGCATTTGTTGGGATATTTTCCTCCAACTCCTCCCTTTAGAGTTCGTCCCGAAAGAGGATGGTGCTGACTGTGAGGAGGAGGGGGAGGGGGTGGATACGAGCTGGAGGGGTTGGTAGAAAGACCATAGGTGTGCGCGCGCGCGTGTGGAGGGAACACGCTGAGTGTGCTTCTTTTCTAATAGAGCCTGGGAGCGAATTATCTCCCCCTGTCATCTCCGTCTGTGCGCCTGATGCTCCGCCGCGTGCCGGGGCGACGGCTGGGAGAAGATGTGTTGATGTGAACGGATCTCCTCAGCAGCAGCCGAGACTAATTGGTGTGATTCATGTCCCCGTTGAGTGTGTGAGACTCACTCACAGCCGGGGACGAGAGTGGACGCGTTCCGCACGCAGGAGTGTTCGGGGATGAGGGACTTCTGAACAGGACGGAAAGAAAAGGATTGGCTTCAGGGTAAAGTTTCTCCTGGTGAAGAGGGATTTCTTTTGTGCGCGCGGACATCATTTGACGCCCTGATGGAATGCCACTTGGGAGAGAGAGGATGATGGACACTTTGACATGGCAGCTCTTGCGCAAAACCCTTTCCGTCTTATCCAGGCGCGGTGTGGCTGCTGACCGAGCCCTCCCAGGACGGTGATCGCTCATTTGTTTTGAAGTGGCAGGAGGAGAAAAAAATCCGGTTCTTGATTGAAAACAAGAAGAAGAGTGAAAGGTGTGGGGGGAGGGATGTTGCGCGCCCAGCGATTCCTCGAATGGACCGACGTGCGCACTCATCACATTCCCGTCCAGGAGCGCACCTTAAAGAGCTTCATCTTTCACTCAGGTCCACACCGCGGCTCGGGACTTGTTGAGCTGCTCTGAGGGGAGCAACCGGTCCAAGAAGACCGGGATTCCAGACATGTAAGTTCCTCATCTTTGCTCATAAAGTTTAAAGGGAACCGCTAAGCGGTTTGATCCATGAGGAGAAAGTTTCCTGTCTGCATTTATGAGCTAATCAGAAGACGACAGAGACTTTTAGCGGAAGAGACTACATGGATTCATTGCTTGACATTTTAGGAGTCGCCCCCTTGTGGAACCAGATGAGCCATAATAATTGCATTTATGACATGCTTTGGCCGAAGCAGCCCGGCCCAATGGGTCCATGCCAAGGCTTCCATTTAGTGCGGGTTTGCGCAAATAGAGCAGATCCGCAGGCAGAGACGTGTGGGGGTGTAGATGATAAAGTAGTAAATAAAGACATTTCAACATTTGTGTATAGTTTTAACCACAGCAGGTATTTCAGAGTGGACCAGTGATGTTGGAACAGAAATCCAGATTCAGTCCAGTCTAAATACACAAAATTACAATTAAATGTTAAAATCGTTTTTTTATTGTTTTACCAATTTCAAAATTAATATTGAGCTAGCATAAGAATTCAGACAGCTGTAGCTTACCAAAATAAACGCATGATTAAGAGATCCTCTATCTAAGGTATCAGAGTCCATTGGCTGATTAGGACTGACTGTTTATTGTTTCTGACTGGATCTCTTATTACTTAGAAACATGATCGGTATGGTATACCATCAGTAGGATGGGGACTTTATCAGGGAGCTCATCCTTATAGGATTGCAGTTGGAATTAGCCTTTTAACCAAATAACTTTTAGATTTTAAATTGACTTTTAAATATTTTAACATAATTATAAGTATTTGTGTTACACATTTATGTTGTCTTCAGCACACTACAGCGTATCTCATTAGTTATCACAATCAGCTGCTGCTGATTTCAATCCTATTGAAGATTTTAACTGAAATTCCTATCATTTTAAAAAATGTCTTAAAGCTCACAGGACTTACAGTTTAACCAGACATCCTCTTGTGTAATAATTGTTTAAGGCAGCTTTAGATGGTGTGCCCACCACAGTTTTATTCCAGTGTGCTCACCATGTGAGAGCCATGCTATCTGGGTGTGTGTGGACACTTTCAAGATCCAGATATGTCACTGCAGTTGCAGAATAATGTGCCAGCGGCCTTTTAGGAAAAGTGTGCTTTAATAATGCATAAGATGATCCTGTGTCGTGCAGGGAAGCATGCATGGTGGCGAGGAGGAGAAGGAGAGGCGTGATTTTGCCTTACTGTCTCATTGGATGCCCTGAGCTGCTCTCTGCAAGTGTGTATGTGTGTGTCCATGTGTGTTTGGAGTAACTGGCACCCAAGGGGGTTCAGCTCAACTCAGGGCAGAGTCGTCGCAGTCAGCCTGTCAGAAGGGCAGCCCTCGCATCGTGCATGGATGGCGGCGAGGCAGGGCCGTGGCAGATGCAGCTGGTGGAGGCGAGTGTAGCCCGTCGTCAGCAGAGGTCTGACATGTCTCAGGGAGGTTGATGAAGTCATGTCCTGGGAGCTGGATGGCTTTTTTCTGAGGATGAAAATTTCTCAGCAAAATGTTGAAATTCAGGTTGAGAAACTTGTTGAGTCTCATCATTTGCAGCATCAGGAGGGGACAAAAGCTGAATTGCTGGTCCAGATTCTGTCAAATGGCTTTACTCACCCTTGAGCAGAGATTTCCGTCCAACTTCCTCTGAATCAGCCCACAAGTCTTTGACACAGTCACTTATCCGGCCATCAGCACTCCTACCATTCGCTACCTGTCATCATTATTAAAAGATAACAAGTCTGCCAATTGAAGGCGGCGTCATCAGAAGTAGGAAAAGAACGCTGAGTGATTGAGACAAGCCCCAGGGAGGCGAGCTCGGCGCCCCACGGCAGAGCTGGCTGTCATGTTTGCAGGGCCGCGTTCCAATTTTTGTATGTTTATTCATGAGGGCAGGCAATGGCTGTATTGGCAGCATGTTAACAGCCAAGATTTGGAATTCTGGGCAGAGAAATCTGCTGGGTAAAGCAAAGAGAGCAGGCAGGAGGCTTTTTTCCTTTCTTTTTCTCTTTTTTTCCTGGACCAGCTTCTATCTTTATCTATCTTTCATCTGTTTCTGACTGTCTGCCCTCCCGTCTTCCTCCCCTCCTCTCTCCTCTGCTCTTGTTGCTCTTTCGGTTGAGGAACTGGTGGGGAATATGAAACAGGTGGACTGAAAATAGATGAAAGTGGGAAGAGACAGGACAGACGCGGGTTCAGATATTGCCCTTGAAAGTGCATAAAATGTGTGAAATTAAAAATGAAAAGTGGAAAAACGCTCCAGATATCAGCAGTGGGCATGTAATTATTCCACCTTACTCCTGCCTAAATGTGGCAGGTGGGTGCTGACCCCTCAGATTTGGTGTGTTTTAGGAAAAATGTTGTTTGCAGCAGATGAGATCAGTAAGAAAGACCTAACAGCAACTGAACGAGAAAAATCAGCAAGTGGAGATAAAGTGGGCAGATAAAGAGTGATCTTCAGTAAAGAAAAATATAGTTCAACCAAAAGGTTTTCCCGAGTCGCTCTGCTGACATGATTTACAAGAGGCTCCCCTCGGAGCAGCTCTTTTTTCTGGTGATTCAGAGAAACGCTCGGTCATGCTCGAGTGGCCTCAGGGATGAAATGGAAGCAGACGCTGGGGGGTTCTCAGCCCCCGAGGCAAGCGAGCGGTCAGATCCAAAGTCTGGCTGCTTATAGGTAGAGCGGTGACCTCATAGGCTCAAGCACCCATCCCAGCTCCACCTGGCCCTCTGAAAGATTCATGTGTTTATATAAAAGCTTCAAGGTTGCAGCTCTGGCAGGTTTAAACCGTCACTCTCCATTTGTTTCAGGCGACCAGGCTGACTGTCTATGGTGAGGAAGGCCTCTGTGTGTGTTTTACAGTCATCATTAGTGTTCTACCAGAGCTCACGTGGGGTTTAAATCCATTTTTTTTTGTTTTGCTAAAAATACAAAAGAGGGACAGAATGTTGACATGACTGATTTATCGACCGTTTTAATGTCACAAAGAACTAACGCCTCACTGTCTAACATTAACTTTTCAGGAAATAAAATATATCTTTTAACATATTTGCAGATTTATGCAAAATAGGGAGGCCCCCAAAATGTGTAATCTGAATTTAAAAAGTCACATGTTTAATTTAAGAAAACTGATAAACTGCTTACTTGTTTTTAAAGGTGGCTGATTTCACACTAAACAGCAAAGATTTTTCTGTCAAAAATGCTTTTAAATAATTATAAGTTCGTTTTAACTAATGTTTGTATCAGAAACATGCCACTGGTGATAGTTTGTGTTTTTGTTGTCTAAAGAGTTCTGAGCTTTGTTACCCAAAACCCTGATGTTTTTTAATTCCATTATTTTCCCACATTTTTCTGCATTAAAAATCAGAAATATTGCATACAATCCATGGCTTATCAATGATATCACACCTTTGCTGTTGAAGAAAACAGATGGGATTATAATCTTCTGACCTCAATCACACAGCCACAGAACGTAGAACATATTACCAAACCAAATAAATCACTTCCAGATTTTTTTTCTGAGTTTTTCATCCCTTTAAGCTTCTACCTGAGTGCAGTGTCAGATGTGGGATCCTAAAATCATAATGTTTTGATGTTATGCCGCAAATGTTGGACTGCAAACATATGTCCAAAGCTGTGAAGACTGGGTGAAGATAAATGGGTGGAGCAGCAACCAGAAAAGGACAGTATGCATGCTCAATCTGAAAACCTCATTGATTGGTTTAGAGATCAAGTTCACAGGTTAGTTGTTATTATGGTCCATTACTCAGAGTTTAACATGAAGGCTAAGTGTGAAAATGGTCCACTACACTTGTTTCCTGCATTAGCCACTTAAAGAAAATAGACTCAGATAAAAAATGCCAGTCATATCTGCATCACATTGTCAAATTTGCATTCATGGACTCAGCCATTTTGGCTTGTAACGGGGAAGGCTGTCAGTGGTTTATTGCCCAGGATAGAGCAGAGAACGTCTCAGCTAGTAGAAGCTAACTGTTAGCATTAGCAACTCCACCACACTGCGGAACTCCTTCAGGATTGTGTCATTTGTGGAGATTAAACATCAACATTGCAAAGTAAACGGAGTCAGTGGTAGTCACTTTGCTTTTAGCTAATCAAAGGCCAGATATTCAAACGTCAGGAAATATGACTCCAAATTCTCCTGTCTTCTGCTCACCTCTACCATGGCTAATCTCTAGTTCCTGAAACAGGAGTGCCAGAGCTTTTTTCCCACTTTAAATTGACTCACAAGGCAATCCATTCCCCTAGAGCAACACACTCTCACAGAGGTGTGGACTCAAGTCACATGACTTGGACTCAAATCAGACTCGAGTCATTATTTTAATGACTTCTGACTTGACTTGATAACATCTATAAAGACTTCTGACTTGACTCAGACTTGAACACCAATGACTTGCGACTTGAATCGACTTGCATCTGTTGACTTGATGATGACTTGAGCATATTTGATATTTTAGCATACAAATGGCACGACATGGACAAAAATCATAAATCATTCTTGGTTCTGGGTTGGATCTTGTACTGCTGAGTGCAGCAGCTCTTTGTTTATAATCAGTTTCAGTTGCATTTTCTGCCTGTTTGAGCAAATAAATGAAGCTTTAAGAAGCTTTACTTATGGAATTTATTTTAATATCATCATCATTAAATTGAAGTTGGACAGATGACTTGATTATGACTTGAAAACTCAAAGTTAAGGACTTGGACTTGACTTGGACTTCCACATCATTAACTTTGGACTTAACTTGGACTTGGCTGTCTTTGCCTTGGACTTGACTGGAAAGACTTGTGACTTACTTGTGACTGGCAAAGCAGTGACTTGGTCACACCTCTGCATTCTCACACCCGAAGCTGCAGAAACTGACAAAAGGTGACCAAGAGTTTGTTTCAGACGCGCTTCACCAGAGCGTCACTTTCCAACGCCTGCGATAAAACAGACATTTTACTGACATTTAACCTCTAACCTCTAGCGAGTT